CTAAAAAGGCTTACAATGGCTGCCTGTGGACAGAGGTGGGAGAATGAATAATGGCCATCAGCAAGGATCCAGTGAAAGGTAGAAGGCCTAGAGCTCACCACAGAATCCAGGGGGAGTCCTTGTCAAAAGGCCAAAGGGCCTGCACTGGGAGACTGAAGTCTTCATTCTGGAAGCAGGAATGAAGGGATATGAATGGCCAAAGAAAATGAAGGCCAAAGCTCCACCCAGGAAGCAAGGAGAAGACCTCCTTCTTCATTCCATTTTTATTCTGTCCAAGCGACAAGCTGTCACCCACATTAAGAGTGAGTCTTCCCTCCTCAGTTTGTAGCGTACATGTCAACATCCATAGACACACCTAGAACTGTGATCCATTAATTCACTAGGCATTCTTAATCAATTCTAGTAGACTTTTCCAGTTTGTTTATATCTAGATTTCGCCCCACTACTTCATGTACTCGATGGGACTTTTGGGAGATTTATCAATGAATCATGAGAGTATGATACTTATCAATGGATTAGTCCACTGATGAATTTATAGCTAAATGTGATGTTGGGAGGAAAAACCTGGTTGAAGAAGTGACTCACAGGGCCATGGCTTGGAAGGGTGCAGTATCTCTCCCCTCCTCCCTTAATATCCCTGCTTCCATGCAATGAGCAATTTCTCCTCTGCCATATTGACTGAAACTTATACAAACTGTGAGCTAAAATAAACCTCTCCTCCTTTAATTTGTGGGTGTAGATATTTTTGTTCCAGCAACAAGGGAAGTAACTTATATAGGATTGCATAAAGTATTCAGTTCATATCACAGACTGTCACCATCCATGTCAAAAGGAAAAATCACAGCAGGTTCAAGTCTCATCAAATTAGCCAACTCCAATATGATTATATAAAGGATGTACTAAGAAAGCCCATCTATGGAATAAGGGTACAGAATGCAAAATGGCAGCTTGCATGCTGGACAGCCATAGGGTCCACTGAAAGGTCTAAGACCTTGAACTCACTGCAGAGTCCAGTGTAAGTCTATGTTGGAAAGCCAAAAGTTCTGCTTTGGAAGACTGAAGACTCTGTCCTAGAAGTCTGAAAGAACTGGAAATGAATGTCCAAAGGCAATGAAATCTAAGGGTCCAAAGCAATGAAGGGAATACTTCCTTCTTTCCCTTTTTAGTTTGACCAAGCTACAAGCCTATTGGTTGGTGAGTCTTCCTCCCTCAGCTTGTAGCCCACTGTCAATCATCCATACACATGCCCAGAACTTTACTAGTAATCTAATAGAGGTTCTTACTCAACACAAATTGATATGACACAAACAATGATCACAAAGACCTCTTGAGATAGGTTTTTCACTCATTTCAATGCTCTTGAGAGCCATACAAGTTATTGTGTATATCAGTAGTCTATTCCTTTTGATTACTGAGTATTATTGCATGCTATGGATGTTCTATGGTATCATAGCTTGTTTTAACCATTCACTTGTTGAGGAATACTTCCATTATCTTCAGCTTTTGGTTACTACAACAATATTACTACAACAATGAACAATCATATACAGCCTTATGTGAACATAAGGGCTTTTTTAATACAAGAAATGCCAAGAATGGGACTGTTGGGAAATATAACTAAGTATATGTCATTTTTAGAACTGCCAAAAAAAAAACTGCTTATCTTCCACAATATTTGTGGTATTTTATGTACCTATGAGGTACATAAAATGAGAGAGCTCATTTCTACATATCTTCATGAACATTTGGTATTGTCATTCTTTTTTTGGGGGGTGAGGGGTACTGGGAATCAAACTCAGGACCTTGCACTTTCCAGACAGGCACTTATTCTACTGAGCTATCTCCCCAGCCCTTATCATTGTTTTTATATTAAATTTTGTGGGGGCCAGGGAGATGGCTCAGTGGAATAAGTGCTTCCCTGGCAAGCACAAGGATCTCAGTTCAATCCCTGATTCTGAAAAAAAAAAAAAAAATTACATTTCTCCTTGTGTTTTTGTTTGCTAGCAGTATCCATGTAGGCATATTCACTTCTTTTCCCATGTGATCCCTAACTCATGCCAACCAGGAAAATGTTTTCCTTCCATATAATTTTGGAAAAGGGTCTCACTATGTAGCTCAGGCTAGTCTTAAACTCATGGTGGTCTTCCTGCCTCAGCCTCCTGAGTGCTGAGATTATAGGCATGCAATACCACACTGGGGATAACATGTTCTAATAGTATATAGAGTTGTGGTCTTAATTTGGAACATCCTTACATATGCCTATCTGCCATTTGCTTATCCTTTTTAGTGAACTATCTTTCTAGGTCTTATTGCATTTTTTAAAATTCAATTGTGTTTTGTTGAGGACCTGGCCAAGATCCCCAACTGCCTTCATGAGGGGTACAGTAAATGGATAAAATAAGAGACAAATTTGGTAGCTCATGACAGGGGTTTGGGAAATCAGTGCCTCAAGAAGGGCAAAGAGAAAGACGCTGAGTTGGCTATTATTTACTGGGTGCACGCAATGATGGGAGGGTGTATTGGGTGACTCAGAGGGATGCTATGTTCTTATGTAGGTAAGAATCTTATGTTGGTGAGGATCACTTCAAATGAGGATAGTGGATATGGAAGGCATTCTTACTATAGCAAGTAGGAAGAGATAGCAGGTTAATAAGGAGTTTGTCCTTTTCCCTAGGTGAAACCTTTTTTTATTACCACTTGGTTCTCAAGGAATCAGGATGTCTTCAGCAAATGTAATCTTGCGCATCACAGCATTACATGAGATGACCATTGAGGCCTCAACTGTGAACTGAAGCACACTGAGTTATGCTTCTGCATACCATGGCCAGTTCAGGGCAAGATACAAGGCCTCAGAGAGCCCTATGCACAATTAATTATGAGTTTATTTTTCCCAAAAAATTATATAGAATGGCTCTTGACAGCTTCTTAAAGTTGAGTTTTTAGAGCTTCTTTATACATATATTAGATATAAGCCCAGAGTCAGATATGTGGTTTGGAAATATTTTCTCCAAATTTGTTTTTCCTTATCTCATTAGTCTTTCTCAAATCTTTATTTTTAAGTTGGAAAAGGTACC